AGTATATGAACCACTACAGTAACAGATCATTTTAAGTCTATGAACCACTACAATAACAGATCATTTTAAGTCTATGAACCACTACAATAACATATCATTTTAAGTCTATGAACCACTACAATAACAGATCATTTTAAGTCTATGAACCACTACAGTAACAGATCATTTTAAGTCTATGAACCACTACAATAACAGATCATTTTAAGTCTATGAACCACTACAATAACAGATCATTTTAAGTCTATGAACCACTACAATAACAGATCATTTTAAGTCAATGAACCACTACAATAACAGTCTACAGAACTGTAATATCTAAAGTGTCAGTGATCATGTCATATTAAAGACATCCACCCAGAGCCAGGCTCAGCCAGTGATAATCAGGTCAGGACACTAAAATAGTCAACTAAATTCAGAAGGGAAGGGAAGGAGGCCGCATGGCTTGCAGAACTGCTACCAGAGGCTAACAGACTGAAATATCTCTGCCAGTACAGCAACATTTACTAAAACCAGGAAGCAGAAGAGAGAGCCATCTGATATTGATATAGAGGACCGGGCAGAGTAGCTTTCAACAACAGTTAAGAATACTCTGAATCACCACGTTCAGACCACTGTAGAACAGACACGGTCTGAAGCCCAAGGCTCTGGTATAACATAGGCTATGCTAAAGTGTGTGAAGATAAAGGTAGGTAGCTACTGTGCTGTAGTTAAAGCATAGCCTTCTCCTGATGACAAATTAACGAGCTCAGATCAGATTCCTCATAAGCCCCCCCCCCCCCCCCCACACACAGCCCCTCCCCCACCACCCAGTCCAGAAGCCAGCATGTGTCCAGGCAGGGCAGGTCTCACCCTAACCCCTCCCAGCTCTAACCCAGAGCCCTAACCCCTATACCCTAACCCCTCCTAACCCTAACCCCTAACAGCCCTAACCCTTATACCCTAACCCCTCCTAACCCTAACCCCTAACAGCCCTAACCCCTATACCCTAACCCGGCTAGGAGCCCAGGGGGAAAGTAAAGCAGCAACTCACCGTGCGGAGGAACTGAATCTCCTCCTCTCCCTCTCCTCCTTCTGCCATCTTCCTGTTTTCTCTTGTCCCAGTTCAATCTGCAGCTCTGAGAGAGAAGCCAGAATATCCTCCAGAATGTTCTCTAGCTCTCTCTTTTTCTTTTAGTCCTTTGCACAAAAACCTTCCTTCTCTCTCTTTCTCTATTCGCAACACCACTCTCTCTCTCTCTCTCTCTCTCTCTCTCTCTCCTTGTTACACCTCTCTATCTCCCTCTCTCTCTGGCTCTCAGAGTGTGTGTGTGGGTGTGCTGGAGGACAGAATGAGTCCTGTGGCTCTCACCATGTTGGGAGAGAGAGTGACGGGTAGGCTGGGCTCTCCCTGGCTGTCTGGGGGGAGGGGGGGGGAGAGGGGAGGGGAGGGGCAGGCACCTTGTTACACATTCTAACTGTTCCCACCCTGCAGCCATGTTTGTAGAAGTGGGCCACTCCAGGCTATAAAAGGAAAGCTTCTGGAGGCTTCTGGAGCGCACACACACACAGGAACACACAGGTGCACGTACACACAGGAACACACAGGTGCACGTACACACAGGAACACACAGGTGCACGTACACACAGGAACACACAGGTGCACGTACACACAGGAACACACAGGTGCACGTACACACAGGAACACACAGGTGCACGTACACACAGGAACACACAGGTGCACGTACACAAGCCATGAGGTTGAAGGAATTGTCCGTAGAGCTCCGAGACAGGATTGTGTCGAGGCACAGATCTGGGGAAGAGTACCCAAAAATGTCTGCAGCATTGAAGGTCCCCAAGAACACAGTGGCCTCCATCATTCTTAAATGGAAGAAGTTTGGAACCACCAAGACTCTTCCTAGAGCTGGCCGCCCGGCCAAACTGAGCAATGGGGGAGAAGGGCCTTGGTCAGGGAGGTGACCAAGAACCCAATGGTCACTCTGACAGAGCTCCAGAGTTACTCTGTGGAGATGGGAGAACCTTCCAGAAAAGTAACCATCTCTGCAGCACTCCACCAATCAGGCCTTTATGGTAGAGTGGCCAGACAGAAGCCACTCCTCAGTAAAAGGCACATGACAGCCCGCTTGGAGTTTGCCAAAAGGCACCTAAAGACTCTCAGACCATGAGAAACAAGATTCTCTGGTCTGATGAAATCAAGATGCAACTCTTTTGCCTGAATGCCAAGCGTCAAGTCTGGAAGAAACCTGGCACCATTCCTACGGTGAAGCATGGTGGTGGCAGCATCATGCTGTGGGGGGTGTTTTTCAACGGCAGTGACTGGGAGACTAGTCAGGATCGAGGCAAAGATGAACTGAGCAAAGTACAGAGAGATCCTTGATGAAAACCTGCGCCAGGGCGCTCAGGACCTCAGACTGGGGCGAAGGTTCCCCTTCCAACAGGACAACGACCCTAAGCACACAGCCAAGACAATGCAAGAGTGGCTTCGGGACAAGTCTTGAATGTCCTTGAGTGGCCCAGCCAGAGCCCGGACTTGAACCCTATCGAACATCTCTGGAGAGACCTGAAAATAGCTGTGCAGCAACACCCCCCATCCAACCTGACAGAGCTTGAGAGGATCTGCAGAGAAGAATGGGAGAAACTCCCCAAATACAGGCGTGCCAAGCTTGTAGCGTCATACCCAAGAAGACTTGAGGCTGTAATCGCTGCCAAAGGTGCTTCAACAAAGTACTGAGTAAAGGGTCTGCATACCTATGTAAATGTTTTTATTATCTCTGTCTGTCTGTCTGTATCTCTGTCTGTCTGTCTGTATCTCTGTCTGTCTGTCTGTCTGTCTGTCTGTCTGTCTGTCTGTCTGCATCTCTGTCTGTCTGTCTGTCTGCATCTCTGTCTGTCTGTATTTCTGGGCATATGTCCAACCATAATACACATTTATCAACCAAATCATAAATGTAATTATGATCAGATGATAAATAACGTAATAAGATTAGAAAAAAACAGAAATTATCCTTTGTCTTGTTTTGTGCTAAATCCCCCCCCCCCCCCCCCCCCCTCCAGTAGGCCTTCAATCAGGCTGAACCTATCCTGCACCTACACAGCACGCCCCTGTACAGAACACAAACAGATCAGACACACACAAACACACACAGACACATATTATGAAGGGCAACCAACATGCATCTACCTAATTGACACACCCCACATCGGCAGTGGCACAAACACGCACACATAGACACACATACACACACATAGACACACATAGACACACATACACACAAACACGCACACATAGACACACATAGACACACATAGACACACATAGACACACACACACACCCTTCCTCCGGTATTCATAAGTATGTAACAGCATGCAGCCTCACCTCTGTTAGCTCCATCTATCTGTCATCATTTATCCTCCTCTCCTTCTCTCTCTTCTCTCCTTCTCTCATCTCTCCATCTCTCTCTTCTCCCATAACATCCACATCTGACTCTGGAGCAGTGGACAACAGAGGAGGGTTTTCACTGGGTTTTGGGAAATGTACTGGCCAGATAGACAAGGACCTTTACTGCGCATGCGCAGGAAAAGAGACGCCAGAGAAAACCCCAGTGAATGCTGGGAGTTTGAGTTCGGAAGGTTTGTCCTCTCTTTCTGGTCGAGCCGTGATCTCCACAGTAGCGCAGTCTAACCGCTAGATGGCGGTGTTATCGCTGTATTTCTGATTTACGGCTTGATGAGGATGAAAATCATTCTGAACGGTATGGTTTTAAAAATAACGTGCAATTTCTGCCCCGGCCGCCACGAACTGCTCAGCTTTGATAACATGTCCTAGATGTATACTATTATGAATATGATTATAGTATTGACTTACAGCCTCTCAAATACAAATACTTTCTCATAGGGCCATAATATTAATTATTTCAGGAGGTTGGAAAATGGAAGGTAAACGCAACATGTATCAGATATAGGCCGACCCACTAACAGGCGTATAATGCGTCATCTTCCATAGAAGTTTACTTTATTGCCCTGCTGTGTGTGTTAGACAAGAGAAAGAGTTGGCTAACTAACAAACTAACTAACTAACTACCCATCACAGGAAGGACAGAAACATGTGAGAAATGATATAAGAAAAATAGTCCCTAGTTGTAGTTTCTACTGCTGCTGTGTAACCCTTCCTCTTCATTCAGTAAAACGTGTAGGCCATGTCACAACTGATTACTGTAAACTACATTACAGAAGAGAGGAGGATATTTCAAACCAGAAATACCAGCGCTACTGCATTCCTCTGTGCGCGAGTATTTGAACGCTAACGACCCACTCCCTCTAACACACACAGGTTCACCCAACAGACACCTCCATCCTTCACCCCCTCAGACCCATCAGTGTCTCCTGTTGGGAACAAAGATTTCTTTGACTGGCCGCCTCCAGCTGCACACAGAGACACAGCCCTGGAAACACTAGAGCCCTGTGTCAACCCCATCACAGAGGGAGAAGAGAGGGAAGAAATGGGGGTGATAGAGAGAGAGGATGGGGGGACCCTGAGTGAAAGAGAGAAAGACATTGAAGAGCTACAAAGAGAGAGGGATAACAGTGGGGTGTAGATGAGAAGAGAGGAGCAGATGTACATGGTAGGCTACCTCTCTAAATCACTTTACTCATCATTGTACAGGAATTAACAAATAATGTACTGGTGACTTACTATATAGAGAGGCTGTATCTTACTTTGAGGCAGTTTCACACAGCAGGAAAATAATTCAGCAGGAATAGGAAATGTGAATTGTTATGTGGGCTATAATTCATGGATTTTTTTTTTTTTTTTTAAGGGTTGATACATTTTTCATTAGGGCAAATCAAGTGTGACATTTTCAAGTGGAAATGACAAACTTTAGAAGCTTTTTAAACCAAGTTAGCATTTCCTGCTGCTCACAACACGATTCCCCTCCAACCTCATTTACATAATGTTGGTAGTACATACTGGTTCTACACTAGTCTGTCTGTAAAGCACCTGTTCTACACTAGTCTGTCTGTAAAGCACCTGTTCTACACTAGTCTGTCTGTAAAGCACCTGTTCTACACTAGTCTGTCTGTAAAGCACCTGTTCTACACTAGTCTGTCTGTAAAGCACCTGTTCTAGCACTAGTCTGTCTGTAAAACACCTGTTCTAGCACTAGTCTGTCTGTAAAACACCTGTTCTACACTAGTCTGTCTGTAAAACACCTGTTCTTACACTAGTCTGTCTGTAAAGCACCTGTTCTACACTAGTCTGTCTGTAAAACACCTGTTCTAGCACTAGTCTGTCTGTAAAGCACCTGTTCTACACTAGTCTGTCTGTAAAGCACCTGTTCTACACTAGTCTGTCTGTAAAGCACCTGTTCTACACTAGTCTGTCTGTAAAACACCTGTTCTACACTAGTCTGTCTGTAAAACACCTGTTCTACACTAGTCTGTCTGTAAAACACCTGTTCTACACTAGTCTGTCTGTAAAGCACCTGTTCTAGCACTAGTCTGTCTGTAAAACACCTGTTCTACACTAGTCTGTCTGTAAAACACCTGTTCTACACTAGTCTGTCTGTAAAACACCTGTTCTAGCACTAGTCTGTCTGTAAAACACCTGTTCTAGCACTAGTCTGTCTGTAAAAACAACCTGTTCTAACACTAATCTGTCTGTAAAACACCTGTTCTACACTAGTCTGTCTGTAAAGCACCTGTTCTACACTATTCTGTCTGTAAAGCAACCTGTTCTAACACTAGTCTGTCTGTAAAACACCTGTTCTAACACTAGTATGTCTGTAAAACACCTGTTCCTAGCACTAGTCTGTCTGTAAAACACCTGTTCTACACTAGTCTGTCTGTAAAACACCTGTTCTACACTAGTTCTGTCTGTAAAACACCTGTTTCTAACCACTAGTCTGTCTGTAAAAGCACCTGTTCTAACACTAGTCTGTCTGTAAAGCACCTGTTCTACACTAGTCTGTCTGTAAAGCACCTGTTCTACACTAGTCTGTCTGTAAAACAACCTGTTCTAGCACTAGTCTGTCTGTAAAACAACCTGTTCTACACTAGTCTGTCTGTAAAACACCTGTTCTAACACAGTCTGTCTGTAAAACACCTGTTCTACCTAGTCTGTCTGTAAAACTAGCACAAGTCTGTCTGTAAAACACCTGTTCTACACTAGTCTGTCTGTAAAACACCTGTTTTCTAGCACTAGTCTGTCTGTAAAGCACCTGTTCTAGCACTAGTCTGTCTGTAAAACACCTGTTCTAGCACTAGTCTGTCTGTAAAACACCTGTTCTACACTAGTCTGTCTGTAAAACACCTGTTCTACACTAGTCTGTCTGTAAAGCACCTGTTCTAGCACTAGTCTGTCTGTAAAGCACCTGTTCTACACTAGTCTGTCTGTAAAACACCTGTTCTACACTAGTCTGTCTGTAAAACACCTGTTCTACACTAGTCTGTCTGTAAAACACCTGTTCTAGCACTAGTCTGTCTGTAAAACACCTGTTCTACACTAGTCTGTCTGTAAAGCACCTGTTCTACACTAGTCTGTCTGTAAAACACCTGTTCTAGCACTAGTCTGTCTGTAAAACACCTGTTCTACACTAGTCTGTCTGTAAAACACCTGTTCTACACTAGTCTGTCTGTAAAACACCTGTTCTAGCACTAGTTCTTACTAGCACCGATTTTTCTGCTTTATTGATGAACAGTTTACTTACAATGATTGTGACGTGGTTGTCTTACCTAGCTACCTTAAAGGGGCAATCTGCAGTTGCTACATCCATTTTTTGACTCATAAATTAATGATATATACCCATTGCCATTGATTCTTCAAGAATATAACTTATAAATGCCTCGAGCTTAGTTCACCTGTCGTACCCCATTAGAACCCAAAATAGAAGCTTGTTTTACGCCAATGTTTGTAAAACAATGTAAATGTAAACAAACACTGTATAGCCTCAAAACATGGTTAAAACTATCATTCTGATCTCATGGATGGTCAGTCCTTGCATCCATAGCTCTGTCTAAGAATTTGAGATTAGTAGAATTTCTCCAGGCCTATGCCTCAGATTGTTACTGTTTCAACTGCGGATTCTAGCTTTAAGTTGAATGAACTAACTGGAAGTTGCTCTGTAAAATAGTGACTGCAAAATAACTAAAATGTAAATGAAAGTCTAGCTAACACAGTAGTCAGTAGACTGTCTCTAGTCTAGCTAACACAGTAGTCAGTAGACTGTCTCTAGTCTAGCTAACACAGTAGTCAGTAGACTGTCTCTAGTCTAGCTAACACAGTAGTCAGTAGACTGTCTCTAGTCTAGCTAACACAGTAGTCAGTAGACTGTCTCTAGTCTAGCTAACCACAGTATCAGACGTCTAGTCTAGCTACCATATCTAGAGTCTCTGTCTAGCTAACACAGTAGTCAGTAGACTCGCAGTTCTAACAGTAGTCAAGTCCTTTTGCTAACACGAGTCGTAAGTCTATCAGC